CAGTCAGGTATGACCTGAAAGCTACTATCAGATCAGGGAGTGATGGGGAACCATAAAGGTACAGGCCTCCTACATACAAAACATGCATTCTAGTTCATTGAGCTATTTCTTTGTTTTTTTAAGCCATTTTTCCTAATTAGCACAAAATTTATTGTGCTGCATGATGTATAAGAATACAACCATTTGGGGTATGGTTACACTCATATACTCCTTACTCCTGACTGCCTGCGGGGATAGCTCCTGGCAGGGCCCAATGATTGCGGTGCCAGGGATGAGAACCTTATTGGTGTTTTCTGTGCCACATCCCATGATGCACAGGGGCTACTCCCAGCACTGCTGGTGGGACACACATGGTGGCCAGGTTTGAACTGGGGCTTCCCATACTAGCTTTTTGAACCATTTTCCTGTTCCCCAAATGAACACTGCCAGGGTGATTCCTGCCCCCAACCTTTTCCCTAAGTTTAATGTAGTCAGGGACTGTGTTTATGATTAAATACTAACATCAGATCAAAGGTACAAGTGGATTTGGTCAAACTTGCTTTTTTAAATTCTTTTTGGATCACACCTGGCAATGAATTATTACTCCTGGTGATGCTCTGGGGGCCATATGGGATGCTGGGAATCGAACCCGTGTCGGCCGCGTGCAAGGCAAACGCCCTACCCGCTGTGCTATCTCTCCAGCCCCTGGTCAGACCTTTTAGTCCACATCTGGTGGTGCTCCAGGAGTATGAGATGACTCAGGACTTGGTACACAACAATCCGTGTGCACCCGGCTGAGTCAAAATTCAGCCTTTTTTGATTAGGGTACGGTCATACCCATATACTCTTTATTCTTGATTCTGCCTGCAGAGATAGCTCCTGGCAGGGCTTGATGACTGTGTGGTGCCTGGGATGAGAACCTAGGTTGGTTCTTGCCTTACCTGTTGTATTATCTCGCTGGGTACCCAAATTCAGTTTCTTTTTGATTTTTTTTTTTTGGGGGGGGCTACACAAGGGTTATTCCTGGCTCTGTACTCAGGAATTATTCCCGAAGGTGCTTGGAAGACCACGTGGGGTTCTGAGGATTGAACCTGGGTTAGTGTATAAGTAACATGCCCTCCATGTATAAGTAACAGCCCTCCAGGGCTGGAGTGATAGCACAGCGGGTAGGGCGTTCGCCTTACAAGCGGCCAACATGACCGACCCGAGTTCGATTCCTCCGCCCCTCTCGGAGAGCCCGGCAAGCTACCGAGAGTATTCGATATGCCAGACACAGTAACAACAAAGTCTCCAATGGAGACGTTACTGGGCCCGCTCGAGCAAATTGACGATCAACGGGAGGGCCTTTACCTTTACCTTTACCTAACATGCCCTCCATGCTGTTCTCCAGTTCCAGCCTCTCAGTTTACCTTAAAATAAGGATTAGCATTGATGGCACATGGCACCATTTGAGAAAAAGCAGTATGTGTACAGACAGTTTTTAAGATTGCCCCCTAGTGGGGAATGATACAAAGTACAAAGAGAAGCGTAACTTTCAGGGTCCTCTGCGTGTTTTTTTTTTTTTTTTTAGTTTTTATTTTTATAAAGTTCACGATAACTTATTACACTTAATATTCCAACACTAATCCTACCACTGTTACACCTACCTACAGCCATATTTTGAATATTTCTATCCTGCCTTTTGTTTTTAATTTTTAAGTTTTATTTGCATTTAAAATTTGTTTTGTTTAGAGCCATATCCTGTGATGCTCAGGGCTTATTTCTTGGACTCAGCTCATGGGATTATTCCTGGCTGGTTTGGGGAAACATGGGGGTACCAGATTTTTTTGCTTTTGTTCCTGTTTTTGGACCACACCACGTGAAACTCAGGGGTTGCTCCTATTCTGCACTCAGGAATTACTCCTTACGTGCTCGGGGGAGCATGTGGAATGCCGGGATTGAACCCAGGTACACTACGTGCAAAGCAAACACCCTATTCACTATGTCTTGGGTACTGAACTCAAATCATCTGCATATAAGGCAAATATCTTCCCCCATAATCTTTGTTTTGGGGCCACACCCAACCTATATAGGCTTTATAGGTATACGGATATACAGATACAGATATATTGCTTCAGGGATCATTCTTGTTGGTACTTGGGATCAAGTCTAGGTAGGCTGCAACACATGTGCCTTACACAAAGGACTATTTCTCCAGCTGACAAGAGCTTTTTTCGTTTCTGGGCCACGTGACTGCTCAGTCCTTATTCCTGTTTGGTGCTCAGGAATCGCTGCTAGTGTGACTTGTGGGGGGACCACATGAGGTCCTGGGATCAGTTCTGGGTTGGCCATGTGCAGGGCAAGTACCCTGCCTAGTATCCTCTCTCTGTCCCTCCGTGTTGTATTTCTGCATTTTGGGGCCGTACCCAGTGGTGCTCGGGACATCTGGCTCTGCACTCAGGGACCTCTCCTGGGGAATACGGGGAACAATGCGGATGCTGGGGATCAAATGCAGGTTGACAGGTTGTCTGCGTGCAAGGCAAGTGCCCTACCCCTACCTGCTGTGCTACTGCGCTAGCCTGAAAGTTTAGTATTTTAGTAAGTGCACTTTAGAGATTATTTTCAGAACAGATTTGGTTTTGATTTCATATCATGGGTTTTGTTTTTTTGTTGAGGTAGGATTTATTGAAACTAACTTCGGAAAGATGTGAGAGGGGAGGGAGAGGCACACGTTCAAGAGAGAACCGAGGCATTCTCTAGAATGCAAATAGTGATGAAACATACAGATAAGCAAGAAAGATAGTGCAAGAACATGGGCTTGAGCAAGCCTCAGATATGGTTTTGAATCCCTCTTTTTCCCCGGGGGCAGAGTGGATTAAGTACATTACTGAGAAGGTGACGAGTGACTTGTGCTTTTCTCTTGCAGTGTGCCCTGCTGGCTGGAAGCCTGGCAGTGATACCATCAAGCCTGATGTCCAGAAGAGCAAAGAATATTTTGCTAAGCAGAAATGAGCTCCGGGTCTTTTACGGGCCAGGCTGCAATAAGTAGCCATAAGCAATCTGTTTTTGCTATTGTGATCCTTTAAACATGAGACCTTAGACTTGACCAGATGTGGTTTGGGATTGGAACAGTCTTTCTTACAGGGGTTGGGAGGGGTCAACTTCCTTGGCAAGAATAGCCTGAGTTGTACATTGGGGGCAGGCCAGCAGATGTGTATAGTGCATAACGCCTTTGACCTTTTGTAGTTCCTATTAAACTTGAACTGAGACTTGCTTAGTCTTCGTTTTCTGTGCCACACTTTGGTGCACTTGCTTGAAGGTGGGTCTCTGGTCTTCAGCATCACTCACAATGAACGTTTCCAACTCTGTTGGCTTTGGTTTCTTTTATTGTGGAGGCCATAGCCAGTTCTACTGAGGGTGGTAGGGGTGGGGTGTGGAAGATTCCGGTGTTGGTCATTTCTTTACATCAGAGCCACGCACCATGAAAGGCATGTGTTACATGGGCCGGAGCGATAGTACAGTGTGTAGGGCATTTGCCTTGCACGTGGCTGACCTGAGTTCAATCCCTGGCATTCCGTATGGTCCCCTGAGAACTGCCAGGAGTGACCTATGCATCGCTGGTTGTGACCCAAAAGGGAAAAAAGGCATGTGCCCCACCACTCTATCCTCACTGACCTGGTGTTAAGAGGGTTTGCTTCTCTAGGGAAAAGTGAGAAATGAGCTCTGAGAACCCGGATTGTCCATTGAAATGAGTGGAGATGCAAATTGACAGTGAATAGAACAGAACCAAAGTATTAAGAATTTCTGTTAAGAACTTGATTTGGGTGAGGGATGGTTGCTGGCCAGTGCACTCGTTTGTGCTTCTCTGGGTTGTTTCCCAAGAGATCACTTTCACCAGGCAGCTTTCAGTGTTGGGAGGGCTGCAGAACCAGAATCTGGTTCTTTTTGTGTTACTACTGGGAAGTAATTCTAAAAGCTCACTACTGGCTTCTGTAGTTAGACCTGAAGGGTGGAGGGGGAAGCCTTGCTGGCAGCTTTGGAAGGATTTATAGTATCAGAAAGGACAGGACTGAGCACTTTTGCATTTTTTTTTTAGTCCTGAGAGGTGCTGCCAAAAGGGGAGAAGGTTGATTCTGAATCATTAAATCTAGGACAGTTTGGGCTGGAGAGATAGTATAGTGGGTAACAACAAAGCTAGCACAGCTGTTAGTGCTTTTTCCACATTTATCGGTTTGTTTTAGGGTCACACTTGGCGTTGCTCAGGATGCTGCTTAAAATCACTCCTTTTGTGACTAGGGGGACCACATGGGTTGCTATCTGCAAGACAAATGCATTACATTGGCACCTTGCCTTTCTTTTGGTCACACCTGGCAGTGTTCATCTCATCATCCTTGGCGAGGTTCCGGGAGAGCATATGGGGCGCTGGGGATGGAACCTTGGTTCGCTACGTGCAAGGCACATTCCTTGGCTGCTGCACTACCTCTAGCCCCGGTCCCACATTGATATCTTGAGATGCCCAAACTTCACCTACTTACCATTATTCAGATAGCTTATGATTCTCATCTTCACCGTAGCTGACATGGCATCGCTATACATGAGGCAGTGTTGCACAAGGTTTTACCATTTATTCGTTTCCCACAATATAACTCCAACAGGTACCATTATTAGGGCAACTAGGGACCATTGGTTCCCTTGGTAGGTACCCCAGGATGTTTTAAGGGGCCACAGGTGGGGGAAACTTTCAAATACGGGCCCAATTGGTAGGACATACGGAGGGGTAGTTGGGGAAGCCTATCGCCAAGGCTCGAAGGCCACCATGCAAGTGGTTGAGAAACACTACGGGACTTTGCCTCTTGGCATTGGTAACAGGTGCCATCTTAGGCCACTGGGGAAACATGGTAATATGCAATAAATAGTCCCGTATTCTAGCCTACTGGGAATGAATTCTAGGTCTGCTTTAGTTTTGGATTTCTTGTATTGTGTAAACTGATCCTAATATTCTTTGGACATCTCTAATAAATCAGAAATAGTCATTTTGTACCCAAAATAAAGCCTTTTGCCTCACCAAAGTCAAGTAAGGCCTAGCAAGTACCACTGTCATAAATAAGGCATCTCACAGAGGGAGGCTATCAAGGGCCTGGAGTTGGAGGTGGCGAGACCCTGGGGCTGAGCCAGCTCTGACCTCTACTAGGATTCTGAGTTTTGCAATCGAGTGTGGTGACGGGAAACTTGGAGGACTCCGAACAAGGCTCTGAGGGATGGGCCAAACCCAGTAAGGCCAAGCGCTGGGCAGGTGGGGTGGAGAAGTAAGCTTTCTGCTCTTCAGAGTAGCGCTCTTCAGGTGTCACGACATCCCGGTAAGTCCAGTCACGCCAGTGGAAGTTGAAACCTTCCAGCAGTGAGATCCGGTCCGCTCTCTCTGGTACACAGTCGAGCGGTTTCGTGGGCGGCAGATCCGGCACTTCTGTTCCTGGCAGCAGCACTACTCCCCGGATGGCAAACCAGCCCCCAAATCGGGGGTGTATGCACACACCTGATATGTGCTGGGGAAAGGACAAAGAAAAGGAAGGTTCAGGGGGTCACTGTGGCACCAAGTCTGGCTTCCATCACTGAAAGTTGGGCTTTCCCCGCACTCTGGATACTGCACACATCGTGATGCCCTGTCACTCCTATGGGCATGTGTGTGTGTGTCATGTCGTCCACCCTGATCCCAATTCCTTCTTTGGGCCTCATTTGTACATAGAGCAATCTGGCCATGAGAAAGGGTTCCTAAGGTAAGCCTCACTTTCCCAGTTTTAACACTGACCGCTTAATTGTACTCTGCATCATCCTGTAAGACGGATTTAAAATCAGACCAGGTTCGCCGAAGCTGATTTTGATGTCAGTGGACACAAGGAAGCATGTGAGTTGTACCCCTGGTCAGGATACCTCTTGAATTTGGTCTATCAACTCCCTTCATTGTGGAGAACTGGAGGAATGTGGGGCCTGCTTTTTGTTTTTGGTCCACAATCAGTGATGCTCAGAGCTTGAGTCTGGCTCTGTACTAGGAATCACTCCTGGCAGTTCTTGGGACCACATAGGATGCTGGGGATAGAACCCAGGTCTGCGTCATCTATCACAAGTGCCCTACCCACTGTACTATCTCTTCATGCAAGGCCTGCTGTCTTGAGGAACTGCCACCATCGTGTATTCCTACCGGTTGATGTTTGTCCTCTCACCTGGGTTCCCCAAGGATCAGCCTCTACGTCCTGCCGCTGGTAGTAGTAAGCAGCCCCTGCCACATGAGCTGCTGTCTGGGCCAGGATCTTGGGGCGTCGGTTGGGGTGTACTTCATAGTCAGCGATGACTTCCATCTGTAGCTCTGGGAGGCTCTGCGACAGGACAAAAGACCTTGCAGGATGAGATGATTCATAACCACCTCCTAGAGCGCACTTGTGTTAACACAGTTCTGTCCTAGAAGTCTTGTTCAAACGGAAAACCTGACCTTAAATTTGGGATGAGAGAGTGTGTTTGTTAATATGCCATGAGGATGGGAGTGTGTGTATCTTCTAAGGGATGGAATATGTGTTGTTGGGGGGCAAGAGTGTGTCCTTGATTGGAAAGTGTGTGTCTTTGGGATCGGAGTCTCTCTCTTTTTTTTTTTTTTGTATTTTTGGGTCACACCCGGCGATGCACAGGGGTTACTCCTGGCTCTGCACTCAGGAGTTAACTCCTGGCGGTGCTCAGGGGACCATATGGGATGCTGGGACTTGAACCCAGGTCAGCCACGTGCTAGACAAACGCCCTACCCGCTGTGCTATCTCACAGCCTTTCTCTCTCTTTTTTTTTTTTTGCTTTTTGGGCACACCGGGCAATGCACAGGGGTTATTCCTGGCTCTTCTCTTTTTTTTTTTAACCAAACTTTCACAATTTTTATTAAACCCTAATCTAGTTAATCTAGATTTGATTTCATAGAGTTCTCATGTTGAAAATGTTTAGTAAGAGCAAGCAAACCAGACAACCCAAGTTATTTACCACACAGCATTAAGTACACAACACTAGGTAATGACAAAACTAACTGGCTCGACTACTATCCAAGTCAGTTGTTTTCCTGTCTTGACTCTGAAACAGTTGGTCAGTGACTGTAGTCCTCATATGTTTTAGTTTGACAGTTTTTACAAAGATGTTCCAAATTAAAATTCAAGAAAAAATGGCAAAATGTGAACTGAAAACAAAACTTAGGGGAAGTTACTATTGAAAATGAAGTCAAGGAAAACAGGGACAAGAGAAAATAAAATCCATCTAGGAGTGTCTCTCCTTGAGATGGGGGAGGGAGAATGTGTGTGTGTGTGTACAGTTTGAAGAATAGTCTCTTCAGTTGTATAACTGAAACCCAATCATGAATAGCTTTGTGATGGATTATCTCAAGGTGATTCAATTAAAAAAAAAAACTAAGTAAAAATAAGCTATTTGTGAAGAGAGTGTTTGGTGAGTGTGAAATAGTTTATGTGACCAAAAATAAAATTAAAACAGGTAAGGAAATTGTTCAGTCTGGCAGGCACATGTTTTGAAGGGGAAAATACAAGATCCTGCTCAGAAGCCTCCATTTGGGGTGACTTAATGTGGTGAAAAGACTGGAGACCACATGCTTATATATATGTGTATCTATATATTTATGTTTGCTTAAGAATATGTCTATTCAAAGACAGACATCCGTCGACGATCAAGAATCAGGGACGCTGTCTCGTTTGCCAAGGTGTCGAAAATCAGATGGGCTGGTCACGTAACGAGATTTAAAGACGACCGCTGGACTAGAGCTGTTACCGACTGGATTCCATGGGATGTCAAAAGACCGCGTGGCTGCCCTCCTACCAGATGGTCAGACTTCTTTGTCAAGATCATGAACGATCGGTTTGAGGCCCTTCATGTTCCTAGAGCAAACAGACTCCATTGGGCTACACTAGCATGCGACAGGGACAAATGGAGACGTTACTGGCGCCCGCTCAAGCAAATCGACGACTAACGGGAAGTTAAGTGATTAAGTGAAGAATATGTCATGGGAAACCCAAGACAGTGCAAAGCTATTCTAAATCTGGGAGGACAAAGATCAGTTTGGGATACCTGGGATAATGGGCTTATTCCTATTTCACCGGAAGCCAAGGGAAGTCTGATGTGAGGTTCAGAAAGTTGCCAATTATTGTAGGGTCAGTCGCACTGATTTCAGGCCCAAGGACAATGAAAGGTGCCAGGAAGGGAAAATGGGGGGGTGGGGAGGGGCGGGGTTAGAGCATAATGTTAAGGCTGTCATTGGCATATTGTTCTACCCAGTAAGTAGCTCCTAGCTAAACTTGGCAGAGCTGGGAGCAGCTGCACGTCTGGAAGCTTGCAGAGGACATGAGCCTCACTCACCTCTCTAACCCGGCTGAGGTGGTAGGCCACACACTGGTCCACAGGGTCGGTCAGAGGTTGGAGGTGACAGCTCTGTAGGAAGGGCTTGAGGGCCTGGTCAAACATGGCCGGTGTGCTGAGGACAACAAAGGCCAGGGTAGATGCTGGCAGGGGCAGATGGAAGGCTGGAGGCAGAACTGCATTATACCATGCCACCTGAAAAGAGAATTTTTTTTTTTTTTGCTTTCTGGGTCACACCCAGCGATGCTCAGGGGCTACTCCTGGCTCATGCACTCAGGAATTGCTCCTGGCGGTGCTCGGGGGACCATCTGGGATGCTGGGAATCGAACCTGTGTTGGCTATGTTGGCCACGTGCAAGGCAAACGCCCTGCCCGCTGTGCTATCGCTCCAGCCCCTGAAAAGAGAATTTGATCTACGTTAATGGCCCAACTTAGTCTTTAGCCAAATCAGTATTTTACTAAGTCTGGCATTTAAGGCCTCACACTTGCTTCCATCTCAAGCATTCCATCAATGACTTCACTGATGCTTTAGTGTCCAAAAAAAAAAAAAAAAACCAAATACTGTCCTCCCGTCGATCTGCTCAAGTGGGACCAGTAACGTCTCCATCGTGAGATTTGTTGTTACTGTGTTTGGCATATTGAATACGTCACGGCTAGCTTGCCAGGCTCTGCTGTGTGGGCGAGATACTCTCGGTAGCTTACCAGGCTCTCCGAGAGGGGTGGAGGAATCAAACCTGGTTCTGCCGGGCTGGCTGCGCGCAAGGGAAAGACCCTACAGCTGTGCTATCGCTCCGACATGCTTTAGTGATGCATGTTAATTCAAGACGCATCTGAATTTGACAGGGTAGGGCAGAGGATGTGGCTCAGTGGAACATGTGTCTTGTATGTGGGGGAGTTTGCTTCAATTTGGAACTGGAAAAAAGAAAATGAAGACAGAGCCTGATGAGGTCCTCTGAACATTAGAAAAGGGCCCTTGGAAGTTGAATTTTGAAAACTACGAAAGAACTGATGTGCAGGGCCGAAGAGACAGTGCTTGCCTTGCAAGCGGCTGACCCAGGTTTGATCTCCGGCATTCCATGATTCCCTGAGGCCTCCAGGAGTGATTTCTGACAGCAGAGCCAGGAGTAACCCCTGAGCATCACTGGATGTGGCCTGAAAACCAGTAAAGAAAAAAAACTCAAAACTTGATGTGGTGACATGAGTAGGAAGAATATGGTGTATAGGGTTATTTTTTGGGGGGTGGGGTAGGGCAAAGGAGTTCTACCTGGCAGTGCTCAGCAGGACTCTGGTGCTGAAGATCAAATGCAAAGCCAGCCTCCAGCCCTCTGAATAATCTTCCTAATCTCCTGGCATGTACTTTGGCAGTGACAGGCACCCACAGGTGTTGCTGGGGCTACTTCCAGCAATTCTCGGTGAACAAGACTCACAGTCTGGTGCGTGCTGCTCAAGTCCTGTGGTGTCAGGGACCATCGGAATTACCGGGTGATCCCTTTTTCTTTCTTGTCTTTCAAATAAAACTATGGTCCTCTCTATGAATTTGCATGTCATCCTTGTATTCATCTCTGTATCATTCCAATTTTAGTATATGTTCTGCCAAAACACGCACTGGTGTGTCTACTAAGACAGATGTTACAATATAAAGAAAAAAAAGGAAACGCATATTTGGAGAATATAGTTTGGGAGAAAAGGGTCTATCGAGGGAAGCAGAGGATAGAAGGCTGGAAAGATAAGAGGGATAAGATTATGACTATCGAATACTAAGTTAAGAAGTAGAGGTCTAACCTGGGGACACTGAGGGACATCAGAGAAATCTGGCTGCAATGGGAAGGATGGACTGGAGGGAAAATTACAGTATGGAAATTACTGGAGTAAAAGCAATTGCTGAGGGGCTGGAGCGACAGCACAGTGGGTAGGGTGTTTGCCTTGCACGCGGCTGACCCGGGTTCGATTCCCAGCATCTCATATGGTCCCCTGAGCTATACCGCCAGGAGTGATTCCTGAGTGCATCGCCAGGTGTGACTCAAAAAGAAAAAAAAAAAGAAAAAAAGAGCAATTGCTGAGAGCTAGAGTGATACTATAGGAGATTGGGTGCTTGCCTTATATGCAGCTGCTCCGGGTTTGATTCCTGACACCCTCCACCCTCTATGGTTCCCTGAGCCTTGCCCAGAGTGTTCCCTAAGCACAAAGCCAGAAGCAAGCCCTGAGCACCACCGTGCGTGGCTCCTGGACCAACAGAAAATAAACAGTGGCTTGGGCCAGAGCATAGATGGGTTGGATGAAAGTGAATGAATTTGGGAGAGAAGGATTCCTGTACGTTTTGGTGGCCAACTGTCTTGTGTGTGTATGTGTGTGGGGTGGGGGGGATTTAAGGAACTAACAGGGTGGGAGAGCAAGATAGCTTTGTTACCAGGGCTGCAGACGGCTCTGTTAACTACAATAGATCCCACAACCCTGGTCTGCCTGACCAAGCAACAGAGAGTCATCCACCACTACCTCCACATTTTGGCCCACACCTAGTGGTTCTCAGGGCTTACTCCTGGCTCAGTGCTCTGGGTTCACTCCAGGACAGCTTGGGGGACCATGCGGTGCCAGGGATCAAATTTAGGGCTCCTGTATATAAAACATGCACTCCAACTTTTTTTTTTTTTTGGCTTTTGGGTCACACCCGGCAATGCACAGGGGTCATTCCTGGCTCTGCACTCAGGAATTACTCCTGGCGGTGCGCAGGGGACCATATGGGATGCTGGGAATTGAACTTAGGTCGGCAGCATACAAGGCAAACGCCCTCCCCGCTGTGCTATGGCTCCAGCCCCCCACCCCCAACTTTCTGAGCTATCTCCCCAATCCTCTCTTCACACTGCCATTCAAGCTGATAACGGGGATGTACATAATCATCCTTTATTCAATTCTTCCTTCTCATGCAGAGCCCAATTCCACTTTTCTTCTGGGAAAACTCACAAGCTAGACAGACCCAATCTTTTTCTCTATCCTTGCCCAGAGGCTCAGGGCGACTCTGTAGGACTCTGGAGGAAGCATAATGCGAAGTGCTCAAGTCCAGTTGATTTAGCTGGTGTGCAAGCACTGGGTTCAGTGCAGGGATATTATGTAAGGGGAAAATGGAGCTCGGTAAACAAAGGCAGGCGGTTCTGCAGACTTACGTGTCAGAAGCATGCAGAGGGCATTGCATCTTGCCCTGCAGTGGTATTTGCAACATAATGAGCCATTCTTCTGTCAACAGAACAGGGTGTTTTGTTCCAACACCCTGAATGCCCTTCCCTCCTCGTTTGACCTAAAACCCAGACGTGCAACCCTTACAGCCGTCGCTCTCTCCTAATTCCTTTAGGGTTTGCAAAGTTCCAGGGGTCTCCTTCTTTTTGTAGGAAGCCACAAGGTTACTGGATCACATGGCGTTTGCCAATTACCAAGCCGGTATTATAAATGGGGAAAAGGACAAACGCGCCAAGCACTTTCTAAGCCCTTCCCCACTGCTTTTTTTTTTCTTTTTTTTGTTTTTGGAGGGGGGTACCCCCGACTCGGGAGATGGCCGAGGGTGGTGAGGTCTCCTCTCGGGTGCTCTGGGCGGTGTGTGTCGAATCCCGGTCGTTTCACCTACGTTTCAACACAAATTCGCTCTGACAACCGGCAGGTCAAAGACGACGCGGGGCCGGGAGCAGCTCGCGAAGGACCTAAAGCCTCACGCGAGGACGCCTCGAAGCCTGGTCACCCGCCAGGTCCTAACACGAGCGGGGGGGACCCACGCACCTGGAAGGGGTGAACCTCGAACCCGAAGGGGGACAGCGTGTCCTCGATCTTCTGCTTCAGCTCCGCGGCTAGCGGCTCCATCGCGCAACGATGCCGCGCGCGGGGCTTGCTGGGAGATGTAGTCTTCCAGGCGCGCGCGGGCTCTTCGGGTCCCGAACGCGTGGACTACATTTCCCAAGAACGACCGCGCGCGGCAGCGGGTTCCGCCCGGTTGCATCCTGGGAGACGTAGTTCGCGCGTCCCCGTGGGCGCCCGCCGCGCCGTTCCGCGGGGATGCTCGCTCGCTCGGTTGCGTGCGTGCGTGCGTGCGAGCGAGAAGGCGGGTGGGAAACGGAGTCCCGCGGCGCTGCGGCGCGCCACGCCGGTTTGGCGCCGCGAGGGGTGAAACTCAGTTTCCCAGATGGCGCTGCGGGCACCAGGGGCTGTCCCAGCGCTCCCGGAGGGTTTGAACCGGGCGGCGCCAGTAGCGGTCGGGGCCGGCTGGGCGCGATGACGCCGGGACCGGGGGGGTCCTCGATCAGGACTCGGCTCCCCTCCACTCCCGCTTGATACCTGCGAGTCCGGGGGTCCAGCTTCCCCCCGCTTGCCGCGCGGCCCACTCCGGGGTCGCTCTGGTTGAATCGGCTTCGCCCCTCCCCGTCCTTTTGGACGCGGTCGCCTGCTCCTGGGCGGGTGCTGCGGCTGCTGCTGTGCTAGGCGGCCCGAGCAGAGACACGAAGTACCGGGTAGTTCGACCCCCGCCGGGCGATGAGCGGGGGCCGGAGCTGGTCTGAGCAGCTCGACGCGCTTCTCAGCGCTACTGACGGGAACGTGGCCCGGATTAAGGTGGGGGAGCACCTCGGGGGCCCGGTTGGGGTGTCCGTGGAGGGACTCTGGGGTCCTATTTTCTTTTTTTTGGCTTTTTGGGTCACACCCGGCAATGCACAGGGGTCACTGCGCTCAGGAATTACCCCTGGCGGTGCTCAGGGGACCCTCTGGGATGCTGGGAACCGAACCCGGGTCGGCAGCGTGCAAGGCAAACGCCCTCCCCGCTGTGCTATTGCTCCAGCCCCTCTGGGGTCCTGTTGACCCGTGCACTTGTTTCTTTTGCAGCAGCGACTGTATCCTCACGGGGTGGCCACCACAGGTACCTGCCTGCTGCCCCCTGACTCCCCACCGCCCAGCGCCTCCATCCGTGATTCCTCCCAGATCCCCAAATTCCTTCCAGCTATTTCCTCTCTCTGCAAACATATGGGCTCCCCATCCCGCCTCCCCGCCCACCAACTCCTTCCTCCGGATTGTCCCTTATTTCTTCAGCAGGAGCCCCGATGAGGACCCTGGGCTCCCCTCATTACTCGTCTCCCTGGGAGTCAGGAGTCCAAGCTCCACAGTCTTGGGAGAATCCACGGGTCCCAGAAAATCCGGGCTGGGCGAATGCCCCGGATGCATCTTCTCTCTGGGATGAAGTGACTGCTCTCAGGTCCCAGCTTCGGTCCCAGGCGCAGGTGAGCTGTGGCATCCTAAGTGTGGAGTTGTGGAGTTGCGATGTTTATGTGAGGTGGGCTGATTAGGGTTTAGTGATGGCCTTTTTGGGTGTGGGGAGCCACACTCCTCCTAGCTGGGCCCTCGGTTGTGCCTGGGAACAAAGCCAGGGCTGCCACATGCAGAGTATGAGCTATCTCCTCAAATCCCTTATGGGTTTTTTTTTTTTAATTTTTCTTGGTAGATTTATACTTTTTTTTTTTTTTTTGCTTTTTTGGGTCATACCCAGTGATGCACAAGGGTTCCTCCTGGTTCTGCACTCAGGAGTTACTCCTGGCGGTGCTCAGGGGACCCTATGGGATGCTGGGAATCGAACCTGGGTTGGCCGCGTGCAAGGCAAACGTCCTCCCCGCTGTGCTATCTCTCCAGCCCCAGATTTATACTTTTTAAATACAAGTCTCAAACAAAAGTACTAATTCGAAGATGATTGGGGAAAAAATTAAGTATACAAAGTAGAGTGGATTTTGATTTCTGAGGGACATAATACATAAAAAAGGTAAACTAGATGACACATCTGGATGGAAAATACCAGAGATGAGAAAATCATTTTATAGCTCTCAGATATATATATATATATATATATATATATATATATATATATAAAATGAAAGATACAAAGGTAAGATTTTGAGAAAACTAGCTCCTACCACTTTTTCTGGGTATTCTTTTTTTTTTTTTTTTTTAATTTTTATTAGTGAAACACCATGAGGTGCAGTTGTGGACTTACAGGTTTTTGTGCTTAGTTTTCAGTTATACAATGATTGAGAACCCATCCCTCCACCAGTGCCCATTTCCCATCACCAGTGATCCCAGTATCCCTCCCCCCACGCCCCCCATCCCATCCTGCCTCCGTGGCAGGGCATTCCTTTTCTTCTCTCTCTCTCCTTTTGGGTGCTGAAGTTTGCCAAAGAGGCATCGAGTGGCAGTCATGTTCGGTCTAGAGTCCACTTTCTTTTTCTTTTTTTTTTTTTTGCTTTTTGGGTCACACCCGGTGATGCTCAGGGGTTCCTCCTGGCTCATGCACTCAGGAATCACTCCTGGCGGTGCTTGGGGGACCATATGGGATGCTGGGAATCGAACCCAGGTCGGCCATCTTGGCTGCGTGCAAGGCAAATGCCCTACCCGCTGTGCTGTCGCTCCAGCTCCTAGAGTCCACTTTCAGCATGCATCTCCCAATCCCTTATGTTCTTTTTTCTCGAGTAGACAACTGAGACACTGAGGTTAACCATGCAGGACCTATTGGATGAGCGAGAGCATCAGAAGTCCCAGATCTGTTCCCTGGAAGGTATCTAGTAGTTTCCTTCATACTCAGCCTATGTTTGCACACTATTAGTTCACATAACTGATATGTATATATATTTTTTGACCACACCTGGTGGTGCTCAGGGCTTACTCTTGGCTCTCCACTCAGGGATCACACCTGACTGGATTCTGGGGATCAGATCTGGGTTGGTTGCATGCAAGCAACTGCTTTATCCTCTGTACTAACTCTCTGGCTCTTCGCACGTCTTGATCAGTAAGTGGAGCCTCTAGGCCCATGTGTAAAGCTGTTACAAGGGTCTGACCCCAACTTGTTTCTCTGTAGCATCAGTCCAGTTATTGCTGGAGTCCCCAACTGGGACTGCCCTTCTCGAACAGCGCCTGGAGGAGCTGAGAAAGGAACTGCAAGATCTTCGAAATCAGGTGCGACCTCAAACACACACAGGAACAGGAATGGACTGTGCTTCCAGTCGCCATCACCAAGAGCTGCAGAATGAGTAAGTGAGGGGCAAAACTCTGCAGGCCTCTGAAGTCTGGTGCTCAGATGCAGGCGGCATCTTCTGGGTTTATTATTGGTTCTAGAATAACTCTGCTATCACTCTTGTAGGCGAGAGCTTCTGTGGAAGGAGTCAGAGGCCCTGAGGGAAGAACTAAAGTTGCTTCGAGACCAGCTGAGTGAGTTAACAATCGAGAGTGGGTCTGAAATTTTCTGTACTTTCCCCCCCCAGAATCCCGTTTTGCTTTCCCTGTAGTTTGTCATAGCTCTAACTGCTTGAGCCTGACCAGGTATATATATATATATATTTTTTTTTTTTTTTGCTTTTTGGGTCACACCTGGTGATGCTCAGGGGTTACTCCTGGCTCATGCACTCAGGAATTGCTCCTGGCGGTGCTCAGGGGACCATATGGGGTGCTGGGAATCGAACCTGTGTTGGTCATGTTGGCTGCGTGCAAGGCAAACGCCCTACCCGCTGTGCTATTGCTCCAGCCCAGGTATATTTTTTCTTCTTTTGGTTTTTGGCCGTGTCTGGAAGTACTCAGAGTAGGGCTTACTCCTGGCAGGATCTGGGGCGGGGGGACCATATAGGTTGCCAAGGATTGAACCTGAGTTGAGTATACACAATCCCTACTGTATTCTCTCTGACACCTTTTTTCTTTAGTATAAAGTGTCAGGGATTGAACCTAGATCCTCACACATGGCAGACCAGTGCATTATCACTGAGTTACATCCCTGACCTCCAAGTCTTGCTTTTTTTGCCTCTCAGAGTCACAGTGCTGAAGAGGGGGGGCACGGAACAAAGTTGGATCACAGCCTTTTTATTTTTTCTCCCATTTGTAGGCCAGGACCAGGGACGACTGCTGAAACAGATGACTGAAGGGAGGCCGACTCAGACCCAAAGCTGGAAGGTAGGGCAAGAATCTGACCTACTCAGGGTAGGGCAGGGGGCTGGGGACAGTGGGGGACAGGAGGTGCAGCAGACTGCAGGATAGTAAGGATAGTACAGTGGGTAAGGCACGTGCCTTGCATGCATGCGGCCAACCCAAAATAAAACAAAACAAAAAGAATCTGACCTATTGGGCTAGAGCCATAATCTAGAAGGTTGTGCATGCAGCCAAGCCCTGGGTTTGATCCCTGGCATCTCATCTGGTCCCCCAAACCCTGCTAGGAGTAAGTCCTGAGCAACCCAGAAAGTTGCTGGGTGTAAACCAAAAACCAAAAACCAACACCAAAACAAGAGTCTGACCTATCTCTTCATACCTCTCTGTGAAGGTCCCTTTTGCTCTATTCTGCAGACTGGCCAAGATACCCTCTCCCACCTGTCCCTTCCCATCTCTTACGCTAGCATCAACTCCCTGTGAAGTGTTTCTTCTCATTTCCTCTGCTTTAGGCATTGAGAAACTTGCCCACAGGGAAAAAAAAAACCACGTGTGCCGAATAAGCTAATCACAGGGCTTGAGGGTCCCCCCTGGGGAGGGAGAGGTTTGGTGCTCTCTGGACTCTCATCTGGCAGATATTGGAGCAGTTGCAAAGTGGCCAAGAGGGCAGTGGTCACACACTGGAGGAGACCAGGACAGCAGGCCAGGATGACTGGCAGGAGGATGAACTCAGGTCAGTGGCTGTAGATGCTGTAGCCCTGGAGGGGGTTTATCCACAGAGGCCAGGCCAGGGGGGGACCAAAGTGCAGCTCTTCTGTAACTCTGTGTCTTACATGGGTTACTTGGAAAGTCGGAGAGGAGCGATGGCACAGCTGGTGGGGCGTTGCACATAACTGACCCGGGTTTGATTCCTCTGTCCCTCTCGGAGAGCCTGGCAAGCTACCGAGAGTATCCCGCCCGCACGGAAAAGCCTGGCAAGCTACCTGTGGAGTATTCGATCTGTCAAAAACAGTAACAACAAGTCTCACAATGGAGTCGTTACTGGTGCCTGCTCGAGCAATCGATGAACAAAGAGAGGACAGTGCTACAGTACAGTGCTACTTGGAAAGTGATGAGTATTTGGGCTGTAGTCCACAAAGGCAATACTACTTTTGTTTGTTGCTGTTTTTTTTTGGGGGGGGGGGTGTATGTTATTTTTTTGGTACTAGAGATCAAACTCATGGGCATACGCATGTTTTTTTTTTTTTACTGTTGAGCCATATCCCCAGGCTCTGGGGATATATAACTTCTCTTTTGTTTGTTTGTTTGTTTGTTTTGTGGGCCAAACCGGCCTGTGCCCACAATTTACTTCTGGCTCCGGCCAGCGCTGATTATTCTTTACTTAATATGAAGACACTGAGATACTTATATATTTGGAGAATAAAGGGGGAGAAGGCTGGGATCTGGCCTCGGGAAGGAGATAGTTCTGTTCTGGAAGGTATCCTTGACTCATCGTCTCTTCCTCTGCTTCTGTTTCCCTTCATAGGAACTCAAGTCCCGACCTCCAGAGTAAGCTTCCCGTGGCTGCCAGCTTTGCCATGTCTCCTTCATCTAACCCTGAAATCAATCTTCTAGGCAGTAACAGTAGCTGGGATCTTTTAAGGAAGTACGGTGGGGGTAAGGATTCCAGTTCTGGGGAAGCCTGAATGGTGGCCACATACCAGCTGCGTTATTTGGTATTAGGTAGAATAGAATCTCCAAATTCTGTGAACCTATTGGCCTCTGTTGTTAGTTTTCTCGTCAGGCCATCACACTGGCCCAAGGTCTAGTTCTGTGTGTGTCACAGAGTTTGTGATGGTTTATTCTCTCTCCCCTTTCTCTCTTAGATCTCCAGGGGAATTCCCTTTCTAACCTGAAGCTCAGCAGCTCACGGCTCCAGCTTCAGAGCCTTAAGCAGGAGGACCTTTCCCTTACAGGCTCTAAGATGCTCCTGAGTGACCTGTAAGAAGAGGACCTGTAAGAATAGGAAGAGGAAGGAATTGTTCCTGACTCCCAGCCCTTTCCTGATCAGCTGGTTTCTGTCCTCACTATAGAGGCTTGTTACTGACTGCCAGTCCCTTCCCATCAACTTTAATAAAATGGTTTAATCCATCCTGCTGTGTTTTCTGGGAGTCAGAACCCACATGGGATAGACTCTACCTTTCTAGTCTTTCTTTGAGTGCTGCCTCCACTCTCATATCTAAATTGATTGACTTTTGGAGATGGACTTTTTGTTTTTGGGCCACACCTGGTGGTGCTCAGGATGGTGCTCAGGGCTTATTCCTGGCTCTGCACTCAGGGGACCCGCATGGGATTGAATCCAGACTGGCTCTGTTCAAGGGAAAACAAAGAATTCGCCAGAGTCGAAATAAGAAACAAAGAAATATAACAAGCAAGCGAGATACATGTTTATCATGATGCCAATGATACCAATCTGTGCAAGGCAAGCACCCTATTTGCTAGACTATTGCTGTGGCACCTCCTGACGTCTCTTATACTGTGTTTAGTGTAGAACCCAGTGATGCTTGAGTTCTACATTGGGTTTGGTGGTCGAGGGTTGCTCTTGGCAGTTCTCAGGGGACTATACCGGACCAGGAAAACTGGCCTTTCTGTATGCAAAGTATGTGCTCAGCCCATTGCTACGGACTAGAATGCTTACCAGACTTTTAAATTTTTTAGAAACTTTTTTTTTTTTTTTTTTGCTTTTTGGGTCACACCTGGCAATGCACAGGGGTTACTCCTGGCTCTGCACTCAGGAATTATTCCTGGCTCTGCACTCAGGAATTACTTCCAGCGGTGCTTAAGGGACCATATGGGATGCTGGGAATCGAACCTGGGTCAGCCACGTGCAAGGCAAATGCCCTACCCGCTGTGCTATTGGTCCAGGCCCCAGACATTTTTTTGTTTTGTTTTGTTTTTTAGGTCATACCTGGCAACGAACAGGGGTTACTCCTGGCTCTGCACTCGGGAAGGAATTACTCCTGGCAGTGCTCAGGGGACCATATGGGATGCTGGGATTTGAACCGAGGTTGGCCGCGTGTGAGGCAAACACCCTACCCGCTGTGCTATCGCTCCAGCCCCCAGACTTTTACATTTTTTAAAATTATTATTTTTAATGTGGGCTGGAGCGATAGCACAGCGGATAGGGCATTTGCCTTGCACGCAGCCACCATGGCCAACCCGAGTTCGATTCCTCCGCCCCTCTCGGAGAGCCCGGCAAGCTACCGAGAGTATCTCGCCCACACGGCAAAGCCTGGCAAGCGACCCGTTGACGTATTCGATATGCCAAACACAGTAACAACAGTGGAGATGTTACTGGGCCTGCTTGAGCAAACTGATGAACAACGGGAGGACAGGGACAGTGACAGTAATTTTTAATGCTTACCAGTCTCAATATATTTGCCTTGAATCAAGATGTCTGATGGGTTTATATACAGGCTCCCATTCTCAGCTCCCGCTGTCTGGGAAGAGAAATCAACTACTGAAATTAAAGCTTGATGAAGACTGTAGTGAGGGATTTTTCTCCCTTAAACATGTATCTCACTTGCTTGTTATATTTGTTTCTTATTTCTACTCTGGGGAATTCTTTGTTTTCCCTTGAACAGATTTCCCCTTTCTCTTCTCTTCGATCTAAGCAACTTTCTGCTGGGGCCCAGCCCTGGGTGAACAAGCCTGAAGCAGGGGCATCACAAGGATTAAGAAAAGAGAAAGAAGGGGCTGGGTTAAGAAAAGAGAAAGAAGGGGCTGGAGTGATAGCACAGCGGGTAGGATGTTTGTCTTGCACGTGACCCTACCCGGGTTCGATTCCCAGCATCCCATAAGGTCCCCTGAGCACCGCCAGGAGTAATTCCTGAGTGCATGAACCAGAAGTAACCCCTGTGCATTGCTGGGTGTGACTCAAAAAGCAAACTCAAAAAAAAAAAAGAGAAATAAGAGAGAAAAAGCATGGGATTAGGGGTCTAACAGCCTCATGGACTGAGAACCCTGAGGTCCTCAGTTATAATATTTATTGACTAGAACCATTAAACATCAGGAGAATTACAAGCATTATTTAATTGGATAAGATTTTACATATCTGAGGGTGTTGGTCAAATATAAATATAAACAGGTTTTTTTGAACATAAATATAAACATCTGTTTGGTTAAACATAAATCTTCCTTTAGGGGAAATTCTAGAAGATCTGCTTAGGGGCAGCACTTCATCTTAGGGCCCCAGTATTCTGGATTCTGGTCCCCAACAAGTTTCATTTAATAAAAACTACCTTGCTTCACACACACACACACACACACACACACACACACACACAAGACAGGACGGGAGTAGGACAGGAACTATTTTGAGTTATAAGATGCATTCAAGACCTTGAGCTAATTAGCATAAAGGTCATGAGGAGTAACTGGCTTCTCCTTAGCATTAGAGAAAAGGCTGACAGTGGAATGTTCAAGATTAAACAGAACCTATTCAGAACAAAAACAAAAACTTCCTAGTGTTGGAAATACAGTACAGCAGTTGGGGGCTTGCTTTGCACACAGCTAATATGGGCTCCATCTCCCTGCACCATATATGGTGCCCACAAATAGTGATCCCTGACCACAAAGGCCTGGGTAAACCTTGAGTACATCTAGGTATGGTCTGAGCACAGCTGGGTGTGCTCACTTGATCACTTGATCACTTGTCTTCCCGTTAATCATCGATTTGCTTGAGTGGGCACCAGTAACATCTCCATTCGTCCCTGTCGCATGCTAGTGTAGCCCAGTGGCATCTGTTTGTTCTAGGAACACGAAGAGCCTCAAACCGATCGTTCAGGGTTTTGATGAAAAAGTCTGACCATCTGGTAGGTGGGCAGCCATGCAGTTCTTTTGACATCCCGTGGAATCCAGTCGGTTACAGCGGTTGTCTCCAAATCTCATTACATGTCCAGCCCATCCGATTTTTGACGCCTGAGCAAACAAGACAGCGTTCCTGATTCTTGAACGTTGACGGAGGTCGAAACTCCGGATTCTTTCTCTCATTTGAGTGAAACGTGATACTCCAAGCATACCTCTTTCGATTCCTTTTTGGGAGACCCGAATAGCGTTCTCATCTCGGAGGTCATACTACAGCTGAATCTCACCAAGACAATGTTTATGAGAAACAGTCTTGTTCCTGACGCTCCATTCGCTCTCAACGGAACGACCATCTCCGAATGTGTCAGAGTTATGTGTACCTAGGTTGAGAAGTCAACGTGACAAATGACCTGGCACCTGAGTTGTGTAGGAGGAAGAGAGTGGCTTGGAACGCTTTCAAGAGCGTCGAAGAAATAGCTAAGAGGACGAAGAACCTCCGGCTCCGAGCACATCTCTTCAATTCCACTGTTTATTTTTTTTTCTTTTTCGGTCACGCCTGGCGAGGCACAGGGGTTACTCCTGGCTCTGCACTCAGGAGTTACTCCTGGTGGTGCTCAGGGGACCATATGGGATGCTGGGAATCGAACTCAGGTCAGCCACGTACAAGGCAAATGCCCTACCCGCTGTGCTATCTCTCCAGCCCCACGATTCCACTATTTTTCCTCAGAGACCTGGGCCCTATGCAAACAGGATAAGAATGCTGGGTGTGGTCAAAGTATAAACTTTCCATCAAGGTCTGTTTTTTTCTGACCCAGTGAGTTAAGTTGTATCTCTGGGAAGGTGATACATCTGGGAAACTGGCATTATTCAACTACTGCTACCAGTGCTTCACTTATTAACTGGTTTTTGCATCAGTCTCAATGGGAGGCAGTTTTTTCAGGTTGCCAGGACTCTACATATACATTGATTAGTGTCAGGAAGAGAGATCAAGCGCGAATATACATACTTTGATTGTGGGAGGCCTGGGTTTAATCCTCAGTACCGCATGTTCCCCCAAGCGCCTATTTAAACAACTCCTGAACAGTCTGTCAGTTGTAGCTCCGGCACACCACCTGGTATAGCCCCAAACCCCAAATCCCCAAACCGAATAAAACAAGAAGCAAACAATCCCCAAAGCATTAAATACAGTGGTGAGGCAGGGCAATGGTATTTGAGCTGTCACCAGGTGGCAGCACATGATTTGTTGCCAGAATGATAGAGCTTTAAAAAAAAAAAAGGGTCTGACATTTAAGCCCGATTCACACTCTTGGTATATATTTTTTGACCACACCCAGCAGTGCTCAGGGCTTTAATTTTTGGCTCTGTTCTCAGGGGATCATTTGTGCCAGGGATCCAATTCAGTTGACTGCATGCAAAGTAAGTGCCTTATCTGCTATACTAACTCTACTACACGAAAGCCTGATCTGAACTCACATTCTTTTTCCTGCTCTTTTTTGGTTGTCGGGTCATACCTGGCTGTGCTTAGGACTCCTGACTCTGCACTCAGGGATCATTTCTGGCCAGCTCAGGAAACCACAGGGCTTGCAGGGGATGGAACCTGGGTCGGCTGCATGCAAAGCGAGTGCTGTATGTCACTCACGTTTTTAACACGTTTCTTTGAGATCCTACCAATAGGAGGCAAATCTAAAGATGTCCCAGGGAGTGCTGGCACACAGGTTTCTTTGCATGCCCTTGCTCTGGAAACCCTGGTTCTGTTCTAATTTGCTCAGGCATAAGATGATGAGCTCCTTAGGTTCAGGCAGAAGGATGCTGTGAAAGATCTGTGCACGTTGAATAAGTATGTCTCTATTTGTCATGCAGTTCTTTCAAAATCCTGTTCTCAAGCCAGCTCTGAAACCTCCTCTAAGAACCTTCACCTGCTTGAATCCCTTATGGAGATGAGTATTCCCTCAGCCTTTTAACCCTCTCACTACTTTTTTCCTCTTACTCTCTTAAGTCCCTAATAATTAGTTCTCAACGTGCTGAGATCCCGAAGGATCGCAAGATCCACAGATCGTTTCCTTGGCCTTTACTTAACCGTTCAGTTTTTTCCAACCTTAAACTCTTCAGGTGGGGTCGCTGAGTCCGTTTCCCGTGGGCTTGGTCGACTGCCATTCGCGTCTACGACTGGCACTGGAGCTGATCTCGAGTTGACTGTCCCTGGGTCTGAGCGGCCCGGCGACAGGGTGTACTTCCCTAGGTGTACTTCCCTCCTCCCGGCTTCTGCCTCGCGGACACAGTGCCTCTTCTGTTTTCCCCTCTGCGTCCTTCCTATTGGTCCTCCTTGGCGCGCCGAGGTGGCGCCCGGGTCTCCCGATTGGCCCTCCTGGACGCCCGTCGCGCCCGCCTCGCCACACGTGGTACGCTCGCCGCTGATTGGGCCGTGCCGGGAGCGCGTTTGCGAGGGGTCGACGACTGATTGGCTGCTCGGAGGGCGAGCCCGCGGAGAGGGGCTGGGCCGGCCGGAGCCCCGCCCCCGGCTCCTCCCCCCGCCGGTGCCGGCGTTTCTGCAGCTCGGGGCCGGGGAGCCGGCGAGAGCCGCGGGCGGGCGCAGTTGGCGGCGGACCGGCCGGACCGTCCTCCCGGCCCCGACCCTGGGGGCCATGGCCGTGGGCTCCTCCTCGTCCTGCGCCGCCGCTGGGCCCGTGGCGTCGCCGGCTTCTGCGCGGGGGACCCCCACCGCCTCCGCGGGCTGAGCCGCCGCCGCCGCCGCCGCCTCGGAGTGGACGGGGCGACTATGCGCCCACCTGGCCGCCGCCTCCCGCTCCCGCACGCCCCGCTCTGGCCGCTCAGCCCCGCCGCAGGTAACGCCGGCAACGCGCGCGGGGCGCCACCCACCCGGGGGACCCCTGCCCGCTCGCGCGATCGCCCCCGAGCACTGGCCCGGAGAGAGGCTCCTCCGCGAGGTCCTCCGCGCCGTGACCGGCTGCGGACGCGACTCCGCATCCCCCCGCCTCCCGCTGCGCCTCCCGCGCCCCCGCCCCCGGACCCCGGTCTTGTCCCGGGCCCCCCGCCACCGCCCCCGGCTGCCGCGGACCCATCGCGCCTTCCTTCCTCCTCCGCCAGGGCCGAGCGCCCGCTCCGCTTGGGGAGCGAGTTTGGACGTTTCTTCGGAAAATGCTTCGATTTTCTCGGATCTCCCGCTCTGGAGAGGGGCCCGGCAGCTCGACCCTCCGCTGCTGCGCCTTGACTTCCTTCCCGCAGACAGACTCGGCCCTGGAAAAGGTCCTCCCTGTGCCCCCCGCCGCCGGGGGACCCTCGACCACCGCCTCTTCTGTCACCCCTCTGGCTCCCAGCTCCCCTTTCCGTCCTCTGCCCTTCGTGATCTGGCTCTGAGGGCTGCTCTCAGCCGCTCTTTCCGTGTAGCTAGAAATAAAATCCAAGTTAGGTGGGAAAAAAAAAAACAACTTTCCATTTATATCTCTGCGGTGGGGGAGTGGGGGGGGGAAGCCCCAGTAAAGCTTTTTTTTTTTTTTTTTTTTTTTTGCTTTTTGGGTCACACCCGGCGATGCACAGGGGTTCCTCCTGGCTCATGCACTCAGGAATCGCTCCTGGCGGTGCTCGGGGGACCCTATGGGATGCTGGGAATCGAACCCAGGTGGGCTGCGTGCAAGGCAAACGCCCGACCCGCTGTGCTATCGCTCCAGCCACCCCCAGTAAAGCTCTTGCACTTTATTCTGGAGGCCCTCGGGAGCCCCTGGAGGCTGGTAACAGTTCAGTGCCGAAAGAAGTGAAAGTGGAGTTCAGCGTGGAGGCAGACAGCCCAGGGAGGCAGAAAACTGCTGATCTTCCCAGGCAAAGGGGGATGAACTGGAACCGCAGAGGAAATACCCAGAGATTGTCACGCTGGTCCTGAGGTTCCCGAATGGAGATGTGAGGATTAGTGGGAGGAGGTTTGTGGACTTGACGGATGGTGCGGGTGGATGATGTGAAATGAAATACCAGCATAGGTGCCTCATTTGTGTGAGGAGGCAGCCCCCCTCCTCCCATTTTGATTTCCAGCAGTGCAAAATAAGGGAAAAGGGAATTGGGAAGGGAGGTGACTCAAAGGGCTGAGTGCATGGTTTGCAAGAAGGAGGTAGGAGTTGGGAGTCTCAGCACCACATGGTCCCCTGAGCGTGGTCGGTTGTGACTTCCCGGTACAGAGCCAGTGGTAGCATTTGGGTACTTCTGGGTGTGGACCAAATGTTCCCTTGTATCCCCACATCCTTACCCTCTCATAGGGAATATAAGGCAATCTGAAGGGAAGTTAATAGTAAATCTGGCTTTGAACAGGTCAAATTTGAGGAGTTTTGGGGTAACCGAAAATTTAGATGTGAAATTGAAAGTTTAGAACTGGATACATAAATTCGAGGGTCAACCGAGAATATCTGGAAGATATTTGAATATTTAGGGAAAGAAGAAAAGAATTCTGTACCAGAAGGAATATCATTATTTGAAGGGTAAGACTCTGAGAAAGATTTAAGGAATGGGACAAAGACTGGAACAGAATGGCATTGTAATAGAAGAAAATAAGACTTTCAAGAAGGAAAAGGAAAAGCAGGTGCTAGAGGAGTAGGATAAGAATTGGGAAGAAACTGCTGAATTTAGCGATTTGAAGGTTACTTGTGTCTTTCAAGAGACACTTTTTTGTTTGGGGGAGGCTTTTGGATGTACGGGGAATCGTGTGCAATACTGATCCCAGATCCAGTTGGGGTCAGCTGTGTGTAAGACAAGCACCTTCCCTCTATACTATTGTTCCAGTTCCAAGAAACACTTGATATAATTGTGGTGATGGTCAGATCATAACTCAGTAAGGAGTAAAAATTCTTTTAACAAGCATGGTTGTAAAGGAGCTCTGCTAGTGAAATGATCTTTATTAAGACTATACTTATTATAGGTACCATAAAGATGCTTTACAACAGCAACAGCATTGTGGTTTAAGTAGCTCTTTTTACATTTGGGAAGAATTTGCTAGCTTTCAAACTTGTGTTCTTTCTACATTTGTGGTTTTCTTTTTCTTTTTTTTTAATAGGTGAAACAGTTTTGCAGGTTTTTTTTTCCTTATTGAAACACTGTGAGATACAGTTACAAAGCTTTCATGATTGAGTTTCAGTCATACAGTGATCAAATACCCATCCCTCCACCAGTGCACATTTCCCACCATCACTGTCCCCAGTATCCCTCCCACTACCCCACCCCCTTCCCACCCCCTGCCTCTGTGGCAGGCACCTTCCTTCTTACTCTCTCCCTACTTTGGGCATCATGGTTTTTCAAGGTTTTTTTGTTTTTGTCTTTGTTTTTAGACTACACTTGGGTGTGTTCAGGGCTTACTGCTAGCTCTTTGCTCAGGGATCACTTCTGGCAGGGTTGGGGCATTATATGTGGTGCTGGGGATTAAACCCAGGTTGGCCATGTGAAAGGGTGGCTTTCCCACTGTATTATCTCTCCAGCCCCAGTGTTTCAGGTTGAAAGGAGAAAAATTATGAGCATTTGGGGTCAGAGAGATAGTACAATGGGTAAAGTGCTTGCCTTGCATAGTACTGACTGAGGTTCAATCCCTGGCACTCCATATGGTCCCCTGAGTACTGTCAGGAATGCTCTCTGAGCAGAGAAGTCAAGAATAAGCCCAGAGCAAAACCAGGTTTGGCCCCCTCCCCCCAAATATAAACTTTTGTTTTTTGTTTTTGGGTCACACCTGGCAATGCTCAGGGTGGCGATGCTCTGGATCTGCACTCAGGGATCGCTCCTGGCAGCCTGGAGAGAACATATGGGATGACAGGATTGAACCCAGGTCAGTCATGTGCTGCAAGACCAATGCCTTACCCACTGTACTATCAATATGGACTCTAAGCAGTTTTTAAAAAATTTCTTTAAATTTCTTTTAATTTCTGTTACCACATTTGGTCCCCCGAGCATCATCAGAGGTTACTCCTGGGCAATGGCAGGCATTGCACACTGGTGCTTGGGGCTTACTCCTGCTTTTGTGCTCAGGGATTGCTCCTGGTGGTACTTGGGGGATTGAACTGGGCTTGGGTGTGTTCATGGCAAGCGCTCTAACCCCTGTGCTACCTCTCCAGTCTCTATTATGAGCATTTTATTCTTTAACCCAAAAGGATATAAATCAGGATGTATAATAATCTAAGGGAGAGAAGGTGAGTTTGACAAATAACTTCATTATTTATTTATGAAACAGTGGGCCAGGGGCACACCTTGTGGTGCTGAGTCAGGGCTTATTCCTAATTCTGTCCTTGGGACCATAGGTTACTGGGATCTAACTGGGATCACTTGCATTCAAGGCAAGCATCTCGAGGGTTGGAGTGATAGAGTAGAGGTAGGGTGTTTGCCTCGCATGAGGCAGACTGGTTAAGATCCCCTGCATCCCATATGATCTTCCAGGCACTGCCAGGAATGATTTCTAAATGCAGATCCAGGAATAACCCTGAGCATCACCAGGGGTGACCCCAAAACAAAACAAAAAAATCAAGGCAAGTGTCTTATACTGTACTATCTCACTCTCTGCCTCCTGACCTTTTTTTCCCCCCCTTGATCTGATCAATTATCTGAGGTAAAGTTATCTTTACCACAGTTATCTGCAATTTTTTTTTTTTTGGTGGGGCACACTTGGTGATGCATAGGGATTACTACTGGCTGTACGCTCAGAATTTACTCTTGGCAGTGCTTGGGAGACACTCTGGGATGCTGCTGGTTGAACCTGGGTTGGCTGTGTGCAAGGCAATAGCTGTACTGTTGTTCCAGCCTCCTGCAGTTTTGGGGGCAGGTCACAGTAATGCTCAAGGATTCCGCCTCTGAATTAAGAGATTGCTTCTGGGGGCCTTGGGGACAATATGGGATGCCAGGGATGAAACCTGGGTCAGCCGCATCCAAGGCAAATGTCCTACTTGCTGTACTATCGCTTCTGCCCTATAAAATATTTTGCCTCCCTGGACCTCCCGTTCTTTAAAAATTATGTACTTATTTTGTTGTTTTTTTATTTTTTTTGCACCCAGCCATGCTCAGATATTATTCCTGGTCTACACTCAGGGATCACTCCTTGCTGGCTGAGGGTGTGGGGGACGGACGATATGGGGTGCTGGGGATTGAACTCAGGTTGGCTGCATCCAAGGCAAGTGCCTTACTATACCTTTTACTCCCCCCATTATTATTTAAGAATTGTTTTTTCATAGTATTCCGTTGAATCAATGAATCCTAATTTTTTTGATGGGGGCAGGGTGGAGTGGGGAATTTGTGCTGTACCAGCAGACCTCAAGCTGTTCCTGGCTTTGTACTCAGGAATGATTCTTGGTGATGCTCAGGATTCTGTATGCGGTACCAGGGATTCCAACTGGGGTTGACAAGATGCAAGGGAAGTGCCTTATCCCCCATGCTCTCTCTCTAGTCATAATTTGTTTAACTAGCTCCTACTGAGCACTTCAGTGGCTTCTAGCTTGAATATTATAAGCAATTTTATAATGAAGACCCTTGAAAATGTGTCATTTTGTATGTGTGCAAGGGTATCTGTGGATAAAATTTCAGAACTTGCTGAAAATCAAAGGAGATATATACATTTTATATTCTATTTGTGCTGCTAGGGATCAGATCTAGGTCTCATAATGTTATGTGTATCATACCTTATGTTTATATGGTGCTTGCTGTGTGCCAGATACACTTTCAGAGCTTGCATTACATACCTTATTTTATTTTAATGACATTGTTTTGGAACTAGGATCTCGCTCTGGTAAAGATCACACTTTGCATGTGGGATGCCTGGGTTTGATCCCTGGCAATACAACTGTGCACATACACACAATTGCATCTTTTTGAA